GTTGTATCAATAGAGCATGATAATATGAATTATATCCCATTACTGCTATTCCATTATATCGATTTTACTATTTATTATAAATAATATATAATTGATTATTAGTTTTTTATTCGAAATTCTTGTTCTATAAATGAAAACTAGATTTTTTCCCGCTTTTAAACATTAAAACAGGCTATTAAAAAGTTATACGTCGATTTGTTCTATTTTGATTTTTTTCCCGTGACTGGGCGCTGAGTTGGCAAAAATTATTTTTTAACAAATAAAAGAAAAAATATTTTGCCGGAATGTCGTTTTTTTTCCAACCATGTATGAAATTAATTATTCGTGTTTTATAAACCAAAATATTTCATGATTTTGAAATAAGGAAATTGTAGTGTAAGTAGAAAATTAAAAAACAAAAAATAAGACGCAAAAAATCGAAATAAGGGAAAATAATGATAAGTAAAACAGGTATAAATTTCGACAAAATATATTAATTTTCCCGAAAAACAAAAGAAAAAAATACTGTTTTAACGTGTCGGACTTTATGGCCCAAGTTTATTTTCATTTTTTTTGTTAAAAAAAACATTATAAACATTTTATATTTCAAAAATATAAGTGTGTCAATAAAAATGACAAAATTATAGATCAAAATGTATTGTTCAAATTTAACTATAACATGTATATTATTTAAATTATATATGTATAATTATAAAACAGACTATTTTTTAAATCTAAAATAATTCAAATATTATATAGTTAAATTTATTGTGATTTATGTCTTCGATTAAAAAACACAAGTTGTTTTTATTGATAACTTTTGTATCAAAGACTAAAGTTTTTTGTGACCATTTGTCTTTGTACGAGTCAAACACGACACTTTCAATCATCTATGTTGTTATTTTATCAAGACCGTATTTCTCTGCACGTATGATATGTTTGCTTCATTTTTTCAACATCTTTTTGTTAGGTTTTAGTTTATTTTTCAACCAATTCTTTGTGCTGTTTTTTGTATTAACAAATTTCTCGTTGTTTTCATTTAAAACAAATTTGGTGGTTTTTGCTTAAAAATTGCTTTTATTTGGTCTTCAAGTGGTTTGATATCAATTTTGCACTTCTCCTCAAGAAGTGAAATTTTGATGTTGTATAAATCGTACATCTTTCCATTATCAAGTTTTATTAAAAATAAAGCCAACTCATTATTAATTGTGTTGTTTAAAATATAAAAATTGTTTAGAATGGTATTAAATAATAATGGATTTTGTTGTTTTTACAATAATTTCATCAAGCCTGTCGAAGTAACAATCCGCGTTTTCAATCCATTTTAAAATGTCAAATGACTTGTCTTCGACTTATTTGGATTCCATTTTTAGTGTATTAAAATTAAAAACTGCGTTTTTGCGTCTGTGCAGAGTGATAAAAGCGTTTTTAATTCGTTTTCTATCAATTTAGAAATATATTTAAAATTAATTTATTAATCTAATCTTTTTAATTTAACACGTTCAAAACAGAAACGTAATAATAATAAGTTTTTATTTTTTTCTGTTACCTAAACCCTTTTTTTGCCTTCATACACAAAACAAATTTTTGAAATTTTTTATTTTTTTTATCAACTTAAATTTGAATTGTATATTTTATAGTCACACAAATAAACATGAATGAGTTTGTTTGTGTAAAACAAGAGCAAAGCATTAAGAAGAAAAATGGGGTCTAATGATGGTTTGATATATTTGGTTGTTTTTTTATAAAGAGAATATTGTCATTTGATTATAACGATATTGGTGTTTATATTGTCGTTATATTTGTTAATGCGACTATTTGACGTTGTTTGTTATTAAGTGGATTGACGATGTAGCGTTTTTATATTAAATGTTCAACATTATAAAGCGATATGAAATTTCATCCAAAAAGATTATTTTTGATCAATCTTAAGTAATTGAGTTCTCATTTGTTAATTATTTTAAGTAAAATAAAACTGACTATTGGCCGGTTTGGGTTAGAAAGGGGTTTTTGAATAAAAAATAATAAAAAATGATTTGGACAATTTCTTTTTTACTTATTTTTCTTCTTAAAAAAAGTTTTATGTTGTGAAAGTGTTAAAATTATTTAAGTTTTTTCCAATTATCAAATATAAATATATAAAATACATACATAATACATAAAATAACTTATATTACTCTCCAAAATATATAGTTTAATTTAATTATCAAAACTATTCATTACAAATAATAAACTTTTTAATCCCACATTTATGTTAATTCTAATTGTTTAACATGAACAGATTAATTATTAACAATTTGATTAAAATTGATATTTAAAATAAATTAATTTAAATGCCAAATTTAATTTCAAACATATCAGAATAAGAAATTGAATTATTAATTCAATTTTTCGATATCATTAATTGCTTCGTCTATTAAACACCTTTTTTGAGGTTCTTGTTTCCAACATTTTTCAATAATTTTCTGATACTTTATGTCAAGCGTATTTATTGTTGTTGGTCTTTTTCCTGATGCAACATCGTCTGCTATGGTCCATGAAAAAACGTATACATTTTTAGGAAATGCATTGTCCCACAAAAAGCACTCAAGCATTGTAATAGCAAATGAATAGACGTCTGCTGGCTTTTTATATTTCTTTTTGTTAAGCACCTCAGGAGCCATATACTTTGGTGTTCCAATACCTTTAGTGAAAGTCATATTAGTCATCATCATATTAACATTTCTGCTTGTTCCAAAGTCAGTCAACTTAGCATTTACGTTGTCATTTATATCAAGTGAAAATATTAAAATGTTGTCTGGTTTGATGTCTCTGTGCAATATCCCATTTGTGTGTAAATATGAAATACCTTTAGCAGCGTCTATCATATATTTAACTCGAAGTTTCATATCAATTTCTATACATGTTTTGTGTTTCATCAAGTCTTGTAAACTCCCATATTGCGCAAATTCGGTGACCATACATATCTTACTTGGTATGAACACGGCGCCATAAAAGTGGACTATATACTCACTGCGGAATTTGTCCAACATTTCAACTTCCTTATCAAACTCGATTTTTTGAGAATCATCTTCAGTGCCGATTTTCATTTTCTTAATAGCAACAACATTGTTTCTGAACATTCCTTTAAAAACAATTCCAAACGAACCTTCGCCAAGTTTCTTGTCTTCTTCCAACTCGTCTGGATCGAGTCGTGTTGTCAATTTTGAAGTTGCAGTAATTTTAATTTCTTTTAATTTGGGTTTTCTTTTTGTAAATGAGTTTGAAACCAACACAACACTCTCATCCATTTTAGTTGTGCATTTTAAAGTCAGTAGTATCTCTAACTCGCACGCCTCGCCACTTGGTAACATTACTATCTTCGGATTTGACTCAAATACATATTTCTCAATTGTTGCACCTTTAGTTGTTATTTGGATTTTCATATTGTGCTTTGAGGTATTGCCAACACACAGAAGTTCTCGTTGTTGTGTGTTGACATCAACGTCCTCACCAAATGATATTTCTGTTTTGTTGACTACAA